CTCAGCCACTGTCTCAGAGTGCCCCAGGGGTGGGGCCGGCAAGGCAGGCTCGGGAATCCAACCCTGGCCCCTGCATGTGCCTAGTCTGCTGAGCTATCTGGCCGGCCCTAGCGTCTTTGTATTTTAAACATTTTGCAGCTTTTACATTATTCATCTCATGTGAATATGTGGTTATGTGACAGTTAGAACATCTTAAAGCATGGAAAAGAGAAGGTCATTCATGGTGGTTCTGCCAAGGGAGAGGCTGTCAGGCATGAGCACGCTGCTGGCCCTGTTTCCTCTGCAATGTGGGCTGCGTGGCTGCTGAGCAGTGTCTGGAGTTAGACCTCAGCTGCCTTCCTTAATTGGCCACTTTGAAATCCAACTGTGGACCAGTTTGGGTCTCTGCTTGTTTTCATTTGTAAAGGGAGCAAATAATCCTAGAAAGCCAGCATGTACAATGTGAGCGTGTACCCCACACTTGACGTTTTGCCCATTTTACACAAAGTTATATTGTAGGGGGCTGGGGAGATGGCTCAGTAGAATAAGCGCCTGCCTGGCAAGCACAGGCCCCTGAGTTCAGTCCCTGGTACCTCAAAAACAAACAAAGTTATATTGGAATGATTTTTTCTTGGAAAATACTTTATAATAGACCTGCTAGAGGGATCAACCATAAAATATGTAGCTATTGTTAGATTCACTTTTCTTTATAATAGTGTGGAGATGACATCCTCTTGTTTTTGTTTTCAAATTCATCCTTTTGAGAGATTGTAGGTTAGAGCATCAGTAATGGTGGGCTCTTTTTTTATTTTAATTTTTTTTAATAGATTGTAAATTGAAAATAAATTGTTTACAAACATAGAGGAATATAACAATAAAAATTGTCCAAAATAAAAATGAAGAAAGAATTTACACATCAGTCATAATAGTTCATTGTGTCAAAACCAAGAAACTTATATTCGTATAACTAGAATTCTCAAAGTAGAAAGGAGTAGGCAATTAATATTTAAAGATTTAAAATTTCTGAATTTAGTTCAACTTATAATACTGCAATTCCAAGAAAAATGAACCTTTTGCACAAGAAATTCAAATAAAATCATACCAAGATACACAAAAATGAAATTGT